TATTTTTATTTTTTTTTTTTTTTTTTTTTTTTTTTTTTTTTTTTTTTTTTTTTTTTTTCAAAAAAAAAAAAAAAAAAAAAAAAAAGTGCTCCGACCATAAGCGTATATGAGCACTGGGTTAAAATGAACGAGTCACGATCCACGTAAAAATTGTATCCATTATCGGGTAAGCGTTCGCTGTGGAACCAGCTAGTATAGCGAAGGAGTACCAACCCCCTTGCGCGAGGGGGTAGAAAGGAAGAGGGTAACCGCGTTTGATTGGACGGGACTGGGTTAACGGCGGGAGGGAGGGGGGTAAGGAAAAATATCCGAGTAGAAAAATCGAGAGCCAGAGGATACGACTAGCGATGACGGGCGATGAGGAGCTGGGGGGGTGGTAAGGAGGGATCAAGGGGCAGGAGGAAGGGGGCTTCACTGCTAAGGGATGCTCGTCGGAATAAGGTATAATTTTCCGCGCCAATTAAGGTCTTTAAGAATTGCGACCAATTGAGCGGGAGGGTCAGAGCTTAGCCTTAGGGGATGAACGTACCGGAATCCCCCTGTAATTTATTATTGATTAGATCCAATCGGCAAAAAAAATGTATGCGGTCTTCCCTAAGATTGTTCACCGCAATACGAATGGCAGCCACGAGAAAAATGGCATCGATTTCTTGCGACGTTTTTTTTTTAAAAAAAAAAAAAAAATTTATGCCTTATCAAGCATATCGCTTCGTTCCATAGATTTTTAAGGAGCGCGAGAATAAGAGCAGCTCGAACGGGACGAGTATGGACCGTGTGGACAATTCTTCCGTGGATATCTGAAACGTGCGTTTCGGGTCATCATCGGGTCAAGTGAGCCGTGGACTCCGGCTACGCTCCTGTGGTTCACACTTAATTAAACAGCCATAGGAACTCGGGGACTCGCACGTGGCGACAATACTGCGAGTCTTTAGCGTCGATTGTTATGTAAAGCACACCCTATATATGCACCGCGCGGTTTCTCGATACGAGACAACGAGAGAGAGAGAGAGAGAGTGAGAGAGAGAGAGAGAGAGAGATGGAGAGGGAGAGCAAGAGAGTAATCAAGTAGGTATAGCTATAGAAGACAAGCGGTAGGTTGTAGGTGTGTAGCAACTTTGAAAAATCATTAGGCGCAATTCACAGGGTATGACTTTTTGATTTTATTCGTAAGTATAGCTGTGGGTAGTTACGTGCATTCCCGCAGGCGCTATAACCGTGCGAGTAAAAATGAAGATTTGTGGAAATTGTCAATTTTTTATAATAATTATTTCACTGAAATTATCGCTCGAGATGTATATGCCATTTACAAAGATTCGCGATTGCCTCGTTCGTGAGCATAGGAAATATATGAGGAATGTATATTCGTAACGGAAGTTGATGGTTTACATTGGGATTCCGCGCTGGCGTCTAAATCGATTATCTGTTTCTTATTCCTGTCATCGTCAAATGTTCTATCAACGTCGATAGACCGAGAAACGCGTCGTTATCTGACAAGAATGTTACCGATATGTTCCAATTATATTTCCGCGTTCGTAAAAGAAAAATAAATGTTTCGAATGACTTACGTGTATATGGGTGATACTACGATATTAAACTCAATTAAGTTTTCATAGCATCATCGTTCAATAATAAATTGAGCGACGACATCGAATTGCCAAATTTTTCACGATCAGATTTAATTGGAAATGTTATTTATTGGAAAAGAAAAATCATTCGGTAGAATTATTAGAGTTCCCTATACTGGCCACGAGTGCGAGAGAGACAGAGCTATAGGGCTTTAGATGAGTAAGAGAAAGACAGACAGACATACGAGCGTCAGCATTTCACGAGTATAGATAAACCTTTGTTAAATACCGTATTAAAAACAAACAAAAAAATTCAATTCGTCATCAGGCAAGCGAGGAAGAGAATTTTAAAAAATTAATTTTTTTTTTTTTCAAAACGGAACAATTTTCCGAAGCTCTTACTCGAGGTTCAATCGCGACCTACGAAAGGTAAAAAGCAGGTACAAGTCCATCCGTGTGACGATTATTGATCCTGTACCCCGAAGTCTTAAGAAATCGAGCATCACGTGTACCGTTTCCGGGTCGCGCGTCGTCACTCAGTGAATACTCAGCCTTAAAAGCTCTCGCGAAAAGTCCCACTCCCTGAGTGGCAAGCGAGTCACGCGCTCAAGTCGGTCCGCGGATTCTTTGAGTGGCAGGTGCCGCGTGGATTGGTCGACTGGCGAAGCTACCGTTCGGTCAGAGCAGCTGATTGGTAGCAGGGCGAGGCTTGCGTAGGAACGAAAGCGTTTCGATGATGGGACTCATGAGTTAGAGAGGAACGGGACGAGTCTGGAGCTCCACCTACCTCGTAACGTGTACGAGTGGGACGGAGCTACGAGGAAGGAGCGAGTGCAGGTGAGAGAGAACGAGTCACCCTCTTTACTGCTGAAGAAACGAGCGCGTGGGTTTGCGTTCGATGGTACGGGAAGAGTGGGAGTTAATGTATGGGAAAGAGCCGTAGGAGAGAGAGAGAGAGAGGGAGAGAGAGAGAGAGAGAGAGAGTGAAGAGTCGATCGGGATTGGGGGCAGAGTGGCGGACTTAATTTGAAAAATAAGTTCCTAAGCGGGACAAGCACACTTGGCCAAAGCACACTCGGCCAGAAGGGTGTGCGCGTTCCTCGTGTTCCTCAAATGACAATTAATAGACTCCTGGTCGAGAGCGGGGTGCAGGCCTTTTTCTTGGGGTTAGACGCTCGTGCGAATGAACAATTTTTACTTGGTTTACCGAGAAGTTCAGTGCTCGTGAAATCCTGCGGTTCGAGATATTTCACGATTACGCGACTGCGGTGAGGCCGAACGATTCCCCGTTAAGTGACGCGTGTGACGTCAACGATCCAAGTTTAATTGTGCAATGGGATTTCGTAAGGATCGACAATGTTAATCGTGCGCTGTGGGAAGTATCGAAGTCCTTCATGAAATGATCCTGCCGATCGTGTGAAAGAGACGTTTTGATAACCCGGAAAATCCAAAGTAACAGCCTTAAGGTAAATACAAAGATTATGGTCACTGATAAGATACCGACAAGCCTTATTGATTTTAAATTGTGTCGTTGATTGAGAAAGCAAACAAAATTAAGTCAGATACTCCCATAAGGCAAAAACGAGTCTCGTAACCAGACAACGCACGTTATCGTTTCCCAGAATCCACGTGAGGAGAAGTCCAATAAATCGCGCTCAAAAGAGACAATGGATGAGACGCGAAAGAAAGAGGTGTCAGACTCCCCGAAGCCGTCACAACCGTCACAACCGTCACAACCGACGCCGTTCAGCATCGCGGACATTTTGAGCCGTACGTGCCCGCAGACGGAAGGGGAGAAGCGAAACTGCGAACCGGAAGATCCGCAAAGAATTTCCGATTCCCCGAAGAAGCATCAGCGTTCCGCGTACGAGGGGAATCTCGTGGAATCGTCAATAGATCAGGAGCATCATTTGACCCGTTACTCGCGGCTGCCATCGCCGGAACTTAACATGGCCCGGGAGTTGGACATCCTAAGAAGAAACTTGGCCCAAGCCAACCTCACGAACTTTGGCAGCCTTCAGCAGCACCTGGGTCAAAGCAGCTTCAAGCACCTGGAGACCCTGGGCAACATAGCTGCTTACCAAGGCGCGAGAGAAGCCCGGGAAAGCGCGCAAAGGCAACAAGACGAGGCTCTGGACATGAGCAAAAACAAATACCTCGGTAAGTGACAGCCAGGTGACAGTCGCGACAAGTCAAAACGACCACGTGGCGCCGTAACTGGCCGGAATTGGGTATACCCGGAATATCCATAAGAATTTAAGAGATCCTATTGCGATTGCCAATCGCTTCCAGCATAACAGACAAGCTTTTCAAGGAGTTTTTGAAGTTAACCCCGGAGCAGATAACGTAATTGAATGTAATTTTAGTACCATAAGTGGCTCTCGACCGAGCAGACGTCACAAGTGCCAGCTACTCAACTTCTTGCACTTGGTCTCAAAAGTTGCCCCACACTGTTGCTGTCTGTCTTCGAATGAAATATTCACTACTCCCGAGGTGTCGCGCGAGACCCGGTACGACCCGGAATCACGAAAACGGGCAAAATCCCTTAATTTTACAAAATATTCCGAAAAAAAGCCTCGCCTACCATTCGCTTACATAATCCTCCAAAATCCCAAGTCCTTGTGAAAAAAAAATTCAACCGTCCCTCTATACGTCTCTTCGCTGCATTGCTCTACCTTTTTTTTTTTTTAACAACTTTCATGGCTTTTCCTAGACGCGTACAAACCCTACTAAAACTACTGGGGACAAGTATAGAATTACATTGTCGGAGAGGGTTCTCTTCCATCTCGAGCAAACAGCGTTCGACTCCCCCCTCGGGTACTTTCCGGAGTACAGAATCAATCATGATTTAACAGCTTTCATGATGTTTGCAGACTGCACGTAATACACTGACGCGTAGACATATATACAGATACAATAAATCTGTAGCACTGCCAGTGGCTGGCACGTGGAAAAAATGATAACTAGAGCAACGACTAGTATTTGGGTAACGGCAAGTATGATTAACAGTAACAATCGCCATACAGTGAAAGAATACTGAAAGTAAAATAGTCACCATACTAATGTACTCTTTCGGTCGGAATCGTTAAGAGCCGATTAAAAGGCGTGCGGCATCGTGATACAATTTCCTGTTAGGTAAGCGCGCCGCCAGCGACGTCGAAGCCGCAATTAACTAATGCGTTTTTACCTACAGTACGTTTACACGTTATACGCGTATTACCCTATATCGTATATTACAGTCGAGCGCTGCAATAGGGTTTTCGCGCTGGCGCTGGGTACAGCCTGGCACCGATTCAAAGGTGCACTCAGAAAATTACTAAAGCTCCATTCACAGTAGCCTTGCTTAATGTTACTTAATACGCTAATGGTGACCAGGATAGGTTCAAGACGTAGGATAATAAAGTTCCATTGAAAAGTCATTAAGCAACATTCACGAATAGCAGACGAAAGCATTCCAGGCGCCAGGTGGTAAGATAAGTCCGCGACAGTGAATTCGCAATAAGAAGTATCGTAAAGAAAAAATTCAATTTACGTTTAGACATACGTTAGAAGTTTTTAATACATACGGCAATTAGAATTGACTATCGTGACCCTACTTGCTCTGGGTGTACTCTCGATATAGACACCGTGTAGAATGTTTGCAAAGCCCGTAGGGGTCCGACGCCATTAAGCGTCCGAGATGACATAAACTTGACGTCGAAAGTGATCAAATATAGATTCCCCGCTAAATCCCCAGGGAGTCTCGGATTCCTTCGAAACCCCAAACACACGTTAGACGTGTGTTATAATAATCCAATGAAATGACTGCCCGCGCGATTTTAAATGGATTTGAAAAAATGACAAATTCATGAATCCTAATAAGATCAATATTGCCATGAGCTTGAACCGGAGAGACCAGGTTAGCAATGAGTAACGTACGAGCGTTAGGAGCTTCTAGGACGGTTATTAAGGATACCTAAACAAAAGAAAGTCTCTGACGAGTCTACATACCCGCTGCCAGTTAGGAAGCTTCATCTAGGATCGAGGAGTAGTATATATCGCGTAAACAAAATGGAGTAGCGAAGGCACGTGTTAATGTTTCAACGAGACATCAAAAGCCAACGAGTCTTCTCTCTGTGCTTGGGCTGCGTTTCTTCCTGCGTTCGTCTACCCGACTGTTTGTCTGTCGAGCAGCCTAACCGTTCCGGCCGAACGGCCGCCCCCCCTCTGCCCCCCCGGCTAATCCGCATACCGAGATTAAATATCGTGGTAAGGCGTATAACCACAGAGGTTACAGGGGACATCGGCTGTGCTTTGTGTGAGAAACTCATAGGACAGACGACAGACGTAATTTCGAAAATTCCGTGGAACCGGAAATCGTCCGCGGTTCATTAAAAGTCGTCTTTAAGGCTTTTGATGTCTTTACGTTACTCCCGGGCATTCTGTTCGCAGACGAGATGGAGGAGGACATCTTTGAGTCGCAGTCGCACGGTCAGAGCTTGCAGGGACGAAAGAAAAGAAGCCGCGCGGCATTTTCGCACGCCCAGGTTTACGAGCTTGAGAGACGATTCGCGGCCCAAAAATATCTCTCGGGACCGGAAAGGGCCGATCTAGCGCGAGGACTCAAGCTGACGGAGACGCAGGTGAAAATTTGGTTTCAAAATCGACGGTACGTATTATGGAATTTTTTATTTTCTTGAATCTCGATGCGGCTCAATTTCTGACGTCATTCAAACGGAATTCATTTTCGTGCTTTCAGATACAAAACTAAGAGACGTCAGCAGCAGGAATTGGGCGCTCTGGTCAATTCGGGCACTGCCAGACGCGTGGCTGTGCGAGTTCTGGTACATCCCGATGAACATTTGCGAGGGATACCAATTCCGGGTACCGGACAACTTCCGGGACAAATGTCGAACCCCCAAATTCATCCGGTTAACAAGGCTCTGAGTGGGTTTCCTTATTATTGTCTGCCCTATCATCCGCTGCTGTGTCCGCCCATGCACTCCAGTCAAATTCAGGTTCAGAGCGCGGAACCGGAACTCGGGGCGAGGCCGGGGGAGACGCAAATTTCGAAAATAGACGGCGAGAAGTAAGCTCGGACAATTTTGAAAGGTCTCAAATCGATTCTCTGTCGGAAGCTACTTGTATAGATTGTCGACCGGAAGGACGTAGATTTTTGCACCAAATATGAAAAGAAAAAAAAAACCAAAGAATTCGAAATAATAAAAAAAAAAAATAATTATGACGATTACTCTACGTCATTTATACGGTCAAGGGTGATTTTCGTGAATTTAAATATTTTTTTTGTCAATCGAATGATAGGGTCCAAAGAGACCCAGGGGGTCCCTCCGAGAATGTTAGTTACTTAAAATTCTTAAAAAAAAAAAAAATCCTTCAATACTATGACGCGTGTCGTATAACCAACGGCAGATAGCACAAGCGTCCTCAAGGTCCATATAACTATAGCCATGATGGTACTGATACGTTTAGATACCTATAGTTCATGGAAAGTTTATAAATCTCGAAAAAGAAAAGAAAGAAGTGCAAGAAAATTATCGGCCATTGTATTTATTCTAGACGCCTAGAAAGAATCGTGTATATTAGCGTGTAAATAAATGTATAGATTGTGACGTGGAGAGACGTACGTCTTGAAAGGATAAAAAGAAAACCTGATATAAGATAAACCCATATCCCAAACTGAAACACAAGGCAGTTCCCATAAATCATATTATATCCCGCCATAACGATACGTCGACGACCAGCTAGTTACATTGAGAAAACAAGGTAATAAGAAAAAGGAAGGATTTGCATAAGTCCGTCAAAGCAGTAACAGGCTGACACGCAAAAGTCAAAGACCCACCGTGAAACCATGAAGAGTATCACGATGATTTACAGTGGCACCCAGGCCATAACTCAAAACTCTCATAAACCAAGGACTTTGACTCGAGTCGATGCAATGACGAACCGTCGACACTTGAAAAAAATAGGGGTCGCGATCTACGACCTGGAAAGGGGGAATAACCCTAGTCAACGACGTCTTTCCCTTTTTTTCCTCGAGCCACCCAAAAATCAGGATTTGCCGCGAAGGACCGATTTTTTCCCATAAGCGTTTTAATAGTTCAGTCTGGGTGGGCTAAGCAGACATCAGATATGTTTATTCAGACGCGAAGACGAGCAGACTCGGCCGTAACTCAAGGGAAAGAAAAAGGAGAGAGAAAGAAAAAAGCAAGATAGGGGCAAAGAAAGGACCAAGATCTGACACTCATCTGTTGTAAACAAAAGAGTTACATTACCATGCTTCTGTCATCCATTAACTCTCGTACGGAGTACAAACAGCACGTACTCGGAACGACACGCTCTTCTCGTGAATTCCAATTGCAGTCTCGTTGACGCGAACCCGATGCGTTTCAATTGGAGGCTGAAACAAAAAAATTGTAATCGCAACAAATCATCAAAAAATCTATCAACTCTCGACCCACGGCATACACTCGACATACCTTGCTGTACTAGAAGCGGACTTGCGGTAAGTAAGGGGTTTACATAACTTTCAACATTTTATACGATCATCAACATCATACCAATCCCTGCACCACCGACTTGCTATTCACAGTAGCTATAGTCGACTATATCCCACGGGGGTATATATCGCTGCATTGTAAACCGTCGTTAAGACCACTATGTGTCATATGGTTGTCCTGGACGATCCTCATGATCTGTTTCTACGAAGCGACGAGACGAGTGGAGCAGCTTTAATTCTTTGGAGTTTTCCACTTTTTTTTTTTATTCTCATCCCCGTCAACCCCCCTCACCC